GGCAGCGATACAGAAAGTCTCGGCCTATATCCTGCAGCTCAGCTCAGGGTCACACAAACCATGGGAATTTGCTCTCACTATTTCTCAGGGTTATATGCCTAACATACATCTTATGGAAAATTTCCTTCATAGTTATACAACCTAACTAATGCCTTTCACTATCACTTCCTATTGGGGAAAAATACAGTACTGTACTATGCCTATAAATCTACATAACAAGGATATATTAATAGTGATACATCAAGATACATGTACTATACACAGGAACTTCAGATGGTTCCTTGAGTGCCAGTCAACTTACAGTACATAATCAGACAAACAATAATGAACATTCCTCATATACAGTATATCTAGACTGTGCTAATTTTAAGATCTGATACCTGTACTGTACTTTACACTCACACATGGTAAAATGTACCTTTCAGCAAGCACATAATTTGATAAGGACATATCTTTGAATTATTGTAATACAGTGGTCCCTTGGTTAACGAATGCCTCGGTTAACGAAATTTCGGTTTACGAACTGCCTCCCATAAGATTCTTAAATTCGGTTAACGAATTTCTTATTAACCGACCTCAACATGTTTTCATTGCACTGGCCGGTCAACCAGCTTTAGTATTAGTCCACTATTACATTAATCGGTTCTAGGGCTTAAATTCTTACTATTTTAGTAAATATCAAGAAGTTTATACTATTCAATAATTTTATAAGTTTAATATTCAATTTTTGTCATTTTAACAATTATTGAACATAATTGAAGGTAAAGTGACTAGTTTAATGCGCGGCATCCAGCCTCTTAACACAGCAAACAGGAGTTAGTCTCTCTGTTTTCACTGGAGGTAACATCTTGCTTGGACTCTCTTCAACTAAACGCTTTTTTCTGTATTTCCAAGCAAATTATTGGTCATTTTGAAATACATTTTACATATTGACAATATATAATGCAGTGCAGTGTTGATTTAAAGAAAATAATCTTGAATTACACCAGAGAGCTAAATTTATGGGTGAAATGGTGATGGGGTGACTTCTTCCACCCCAATGCTTCTCTTCTTCCTTCTCCTCCACCCCATTCTAAATCCCATCATCATCATCATCATCCAGGAGCCTTCTACATACACACCTCAAAGTAAGTGAACTTTTCTACCATTTTTGTTGAATTTAGGAAATTTTCGGTGAGCTGGAACCAATTACTGTACCCAAAAACCCATTGAAACAATGGTTTCGGTTAACGAACAACCTTCTGGAACGGATTGAGTTCGTTAACGGAGGGGTCACTGTACTGTAATACATTTCTCTCACATTTAGAGTGACCTTTCATGTCAAAATTGTCAACACTACTGTCATATATCATGCATTGTAGGAACCCCCAGCACAGTTTACCTAATGATGAAGCACCCTGGCACTACTGGGGGTGAAATGAGTGGGGGTTCCTTATCTGGGCGATGTGTCGAGTTAATGGAACAAACGGCTGATGTTTAGGTTATCGAAGCTACGTGAAGTAAATAGAATCGAGTCGAGAAATTTGGTAAAACTATAACTTACTGTACTATGCCATCACAAGGTCCCAGAGCTTATGAAAATTACACATTACAATAACTCTTTTTCTCTCTATTTGAAGTGAAAGATGCCATGGGATTTTCTGGAGCATGGCAGATGAGAACATAATTAGTGGTGGTAATACTATCATTAAATCCCAAGTTGCTGCTCAGAATCAAAGCCTTGAATTCAACATGCCTTCATTCCCCAGGTCTTCAACAAAGTTTAAAACTATTAATTTACTCTAATGAAGTGGCATGTAAGTCGCTGGTCTGCACATTCAGCACACTGTCAAGAATCATCACTGAACTGTATGTTTGAGTTTAGCTGGGACAAACCACAGAGTACAGTATTGCCAAACTTCTGTACATATTGTCCGGCAGTTCACTCTTGCTAAGATTAGACAATATCCAGAGATAGATTTTGTTAATTTATCATAAATGCACTAGCTGCCTCACAAGAGTAATCCTCAGGAGACAGGAATAGCCAACTGCACCTTGAAATGGTTTCTTAAAATTGAGTTCTATTTTAGTTTATACTGTAGTTCACCAACATATGTTAATTTAGAAGTACTGTACAGGTAAACTTAAACTTTACGTTGTATACTATGAACTACCTGTACAGTAAAACTAACATTATAGTACAGTATAAATATCGACAAGAAAATCTATTATTACTTCTACAAGGTCATTCTAAATATTTATAAAACAAACTCTCTAGTTTAAAAATTATTTCTGTAAAAATTGTAATCCCACTTCAACTTTCATTAAAATTCAAATTTTCATCGTAAGTAAAAGGTTTAAAAAATAACATCTTACAATTTATAACAATTTACAACCTGTAAAAAAAAAAATCTTAAATTAACCTATCACTAAAAGATATTCTTGTATGCAATGCATTACAGTATACAGTACTGTACTGTACAGCATTGAGCAAAAAAAAAACAATGTGATGCCCGACTTCACCGCCAAATTCCTAATACCTGTATGTATAAAGTACAGTACTGTATGTGTAACAGTGACTGACTGACTGATATGTAATCTGTAAATCATTCAAGTTTACATCTGATTTTCCCTTGTATATAGATTATAGACAATGCAGCATCAGTATTCAGTTCAGCATGCAATGGATAATATAGGAACTGTATACTGTGTACTGCCTCAGACCAAAAGTTCTCTCCCCACAGTGAAACTGAGTTACGGGAACGAGTCTCCGAACTTAAGTACCCTGAGTGCCGTCTGGTGTGACTGTGACGTGCTATCTTAGCTGGGGCCGATGCTGCTTCATTTTGGGAAAGAGCTTAATTTTACCCCAACTGTACATTGACTGTGCAGATATACAGTACAAGAATAAATGTAACCCACCTAGAGACGGAAAGGAAAAAAACGATGTTAAACGGTAAGACAATTAGACCACAAAGCCATCACATGCTTAATGAACTCCTACCAATAGCCATGAAAAAGAGGAACTATGAATTTGGTTGATTGTAAAACTGTTGTTAAAGGTTTCTTAAAAAAAAATGGTCTTCCTGAAATGTTAAGTAAAACAGTTAGTCTCTCTCTCTGTCTGTCATGCTCAATCTATATTCATGCTTTGAGGACTATTATTATTATCGTCATTACTGTAGTATTTGTGAATGTACTTTAAAGCTACATACAGAATAAAAGTTTTATCTCTTAATCATGGAAATAGATAACAGAGTAATTACTGTTCTTGCACACCATGAAGAGGCTATTGGTCAAGAGAAGTTGCTTAAGAATACTTTACTGTAACCCATCACCAAAACTGTACTGTAGCAGCTTTCAGACTACATCATTAACCCCTTCACCCTGGGATGCCACTTTTGTTATATTATTTGGCTGACAGATGATTTTATTCAGCACAGAGGAGACCCTGTACGCAAGTGGTTAAGCTACTGGAAGTATTATTGGTGACAAGAATCACCCAAACCACCAACCCAACCTAATGAACTTAGTGCAGTACTGTACGTACTGTGTATTGAACTGTACTTGTCGCTAAAGTTAGTTACACCAGGAAAAGTTAGGTAGGTCCAATTTGCTCAATTTAAAAGAAATAAAATTGGAATTTCTAAGAAAATACCACAAACATTGGCAAATGATTTAAGCGTGAAAAAAAAATATTTTCCTGCAGTTTTCATGCTGAATACAGTTGTGATAATGAGTTTGGAGAAGTGCATAATTGCTGCATTGAATTATGACACTTCATACCCTTTCAATCTTGAACCCACCAAAAGTGGGCAGGGTTTTAAAGCAGAGGGAAATTGTGGGGTAAAAACACACAAAATACTGTGTAATATCCAAGAACAGGTGCCAGGGTTAAGGAGAGAGTTGGGGAACTTTACAAGAGAGGAAAATTTTTTATAATTATATTTGTTGCCACCAACTAAATTTCGATATATATTTGCAATCAATAATTTAGACAATTGGAAGACGCTTTTCTTCTATGACGTTTCTCTCACAAACAACCTAATTTAACCTCCTAAACAGCCTCGACCCCTAGGCATATTACAGGAAGTTTGTGAGGGAAATGTCATAGAAGAAAGGCGTCTTCCTATTGCCTGAACTATTTTTTTTTTTACTTTTATCCTCTTCGCCACTGATCGGCTCGAGATTTGGTTGGTGGCAACAAATGCACAACAGCGAAAAGTTCTTCGGTTTATCAAGATCATCCCAAAAATGGCAGAGGAAATAAATTTTAACAAACAAAAAGAAACTCAAGAACCTAACTTAACCTCCTAGCAGGGGGTAAAGCCCCCTAGACCTCCTGTGTGTAAACCTAACATAACCCAACAAGACCTAATACAAAACAAAGGGGACCACAGAAACTTACCTGAAATCGAAGGTCAGAAAAGCTCTAAAATTATAGATTTCCGACGAAAACGCTAGAGTAAAGTATGCTATATCTCCCTATACAGTATGCTGTATACATATCAATGTAGAGTTCCGTGGTTAACCTTTTCCCAATCTTAACTGAAAAAACTACTAGGAATTTACATAGAAACCGGCAAATTAGCCAGGAAGTTTGTTTAGGCCTATCAAGTTTAGGTGGGCCTGAGGCCAGGCGCCACCAACCTACTGTAAACATTACCCAAAACAAACACGAGCACTGACCTTTAACTCTTACCTTTTAGAGTTATTCAAACACTTTAATGCGGAATACTGAGTGTTATTACCTAGAGAACAGTAAAACTACGGGCTGAAGTTCTAGAAACTTTTCATACGTCATATAAAGTGGATATTCTATACGTCAGGAGACCTTTAAGCCTCCAGGGCAGGTATATTTCACATTACTGTTAACTCAACCCTAACATACTGTTAACTTTCCGCACTCTCTATACAACTGTATAACACGAACATACAGTAATTCATCTATCATCGATTACTCTCCAAAATCTATATAAACGGATATTCTAAGATATATAACATGAGATGAAGAGTCTTACCTTCCTCCAACAAGTCAGGCGAGTCACTGTCCACAAGTGCCCGGTACGCACGCGTCCGCGCACCGAAACAATGCAGGAGGCGCAGGTCTCTCATTGGTGGAGGTGCAGACCCTCCCCCGGTATGCGACTTCCTCATTGGTTAACATTGTTGCATCATCAATCTCTCATTCCAGTATTTAAAGAATAAATCTTGATTATAACATCTTTAAAATCTTTATTTCATCCCAAAGACACACAAACACACACCAACGACGGATTACTGTATATTTTTTTTTACCGGTGTACAAGGTTGTGGTGAGCAGTGGTCACAGCTCCACCGAATTTCAACCACACACAAATAAAAAGAGACAGCAAATTTATTTTACTTAAGAAAAGCGTAATTCGTGAAATACTTTGTCTGAGATTGTTATTTAAGTCAGGTCTACCAATATGCACCAATAGTAAATATAAATAGTACGTGTTCTGTTAATATACAACACAAAGACTAAGTTTTTCACCAAACAGAAACATACTGGTCATTAGCACCATCACTTCTAAATGTTACAGGTAGTTTTCAGCCTTGGATGCTATGGAATATGATCAACACACAGATGATATCATATTTATTAGACATGGGAGCTTGCTCACTACTGGCGCCACATAAATCTTGCCGACCAAGACTAAGCTGAGTCAAAACAGCTTACTACGCAGTTGAAAAAAAAATTACGCTTTTGTGGACGTACGCAATAATTTACCTCAGCACGTGTCACGCCTTCAAATCCGTCGATAATCAGGAGCAGATGAACTTTCGGTAAATCAGGAAATCGTGTTACCTGTATGAAGACAACATAGGTAGCACAGCGTCACAAACCTGCTCGCTGTATCGATCAAGCAGGTGAAGTTTGTTGAGGTATATTGTACAGCCCTCGCTATCCATAATACCGTAAGTCAATTAATTTACAGGTATATTATTATTATTATTAATATTATTATTATTTATTTATTGACGATTTAAACAACGCAGTGTGAACCCAATCGTACCCAGAGGTCTGTCGCTACCCAAAAAAACTTACTTATTTACTCCGTGGTGATACCAAACACTCAAAATCAGTGACGGTGTAAAAGAAAGTCACCTTGATTGTGGTGCTCAGCCAGCTGAACTCTGGACCTAAAAGAGAGACCTTCTGGCTGTCAGCTGTTGTTGACGTCTGAGTCCGTGGGACCACAGGTTTGTACACCTCCACCCATGCTTCATTCATTCAGGGATTTTTGTTATCTATTTTTCGTTAATGCTCAAACTCAATTATCTTTATAATTGTCACAGAACGACATATTCCTGAAGAAAATTTATTGCCAAAATGTAAGAACAATTTGATGCGGTATGGTGGTATGGTACAGTACGTATTAGTACATTCATTCTTGTTAAGGCGGGTCAAGATTTCGCGAATGGGTATGAACATTGAACAGCATTAAACACAATTTACAACCTGGCCCAGAAGCCACGCCCCTTCCTACGCTAAAAAGTAGCTGGTTGCTCCATAAAAAGTGCTCGTTTACCTCTGCATTTATCATACTAATATGTTCACAAGTTATAATTAGACCAGTTCTTCTCAATAATAATGTTAAAAATTACGAACATAAAAATGCAAATGATTTTAAGGCATTAGCACTTCAAAGAGGATGCTGAAATTGTTAAAATATGTACGTATTACGAACGGCCGAATCAAGGACAAAAGTTGCATTCGGATGAAGCCTATTTATCATTTCTTTGTTTTGTAGCAAACAGAAACAAATAACACCAACCATATAGCACAATAGACAATTACTTACAGTTTGTAAAGGCTAGATTTATCGCAAATCATTGTTTAATTGTAAACATTGATAAACATACGCGCAGTTCGTGGGGAGGTAGACTCAGGGGAGCAGCCACGGGGCCGGACCGAACTGCAGGGTTGCCAACAACCTTTTACACCAATGCGCGGCAACTCGGAAGGAGCGGCAAATCTATCACAAGGAGCCAAAATTTTATCATGGATTCTTGAAAGTGTGTATGTGTGATGGAACTACAGTAAACCAGTTTCAAGTCAACAAGTTACAACATAATTCTCCCAAACGTGAGGAAGTGAATACAACACAACACAACACCTTCAAGACTCGTACACAGCGGGATGCATCATAGAAATACACTAGGGCGCCTTACTTGTGGAATACCACGACCACGTCACACGTAGAACAGCGCGAGTACACATAATAATAATAATAATAATAATAATAATAATAATAATTAACGGTTTATTGAAAAAGTTCTGCAGCCCGAAGGCTGAAAATGTACATTGGACATAAATGACTTATTACATACATTGGTGGTTTAACAAAAGCCTTCATTAGAGAAAGGTAAAGGAACATACAGTGAACATACAGATTAATGTAGGATTGTACGTGTTGAACAGCAAACACGTGGTGTAGTAATTCCCTCACAGATGGTGTTATGAGGGTCCTCACGTGGTGTAGTAGTTCCCTCACAGATGGTGTTATTAGGGACCTGACGTGGTGTAGTAATTCCCTCACAGATGGTGTTATGAGGGACCTGACGTGGTGTAGTAATTCCCTCACGTGGTGTAGTAATTCCTTCACAGTTGGTGTTATGAGGGGCCTCACGTGGTGTAGGAATTCCCTCACAGATGGTGTTATATAAGTGAGGTTTGGTCCCAGGCCTTCCTATCGTAGACGGATTAACACATCGCTGGTTGTTGTTGGGTCTCACGGGCCGTTATCACTGGGTACCTGGGACCACACTGTGTGAAGGTTAACTTGGGTACGACTGTTACTGTTGAGTTGTTCTCACTGACTTAAGCACTGTTCACCACTGTTCACCTCTGTTTAACACTGGTTCCGTTCCTTTCCTAAATGAAATTGTAACTTCTGGCGAGAACTTGTTGATATTCCGGTGGGGAGGAGGGTTCAGGGGAGGGGGTTGGTATGGGCCAACTTAACAGTTGACCTGGCTGCTCCGAGAGGAGCGCCAGGTACGTCTTGACCCTTCGGTGGTCAAGGATGTATTTCACCATGACTAAGTGTGATATAAACTTATTATTTCTTATCAGGAATTGAGTCATGAGTGAAAAATATGCGATGCTGTTGTATAGGAAGTCACACAGTATTAAAAAAAAAATCATTAAAATTGGGAGTGTTCAAACAGAAAAAAATTCACATAAAAGTAAAAAATACAGTTGGAGTGTACAATTCACAAAAATATTACAATATAAATGTAAAGTACAAGAAGTAGGACTGTAGCAGGGCGCCGGATGTGTCGTGCTACTGTGGAAGGTTTAGTTTCGGGTGCCGCAGCGCTCTAGTTAAGTCGTGGGCTGGTCGTGCCGTTGGAGTCCGGAAAGCGCAGTCGAAAACAGCAGAGGGAGGGGTGGGCTGTTTAGTGCCGGGGCCGACAGTCAACCAGTAAATCATCTTCAAGAAAAATCAAACACAATAACTAGCTCAAGAAAATTTTAACACCCCTTTAGCTTAAGGCCTTAGGAATCAAGTAGCGACGTGGTCAGCCCACCTCCTTTTACCTCCTAAACTTCTTTAATTTTCGGACTTTTAACTCCCTCTAATCTTCTTTCACCCCTTTCAACAAAGGCAACTTATGTAAGCTCAGACAACATAAAAAAAAAAAAAAAAAAAAAAAAATAATTAATAATAATAAATAATAATAATAATAATAATAATAATAATAATAATAATAATAATAATAATAAATAATAATAATAATAATAATAATAATAATAATAATAATAATATATATTAAAAGGCCCAAGGAACGAATAAATCTTACAAACGAATTTACGTTATTCTTAAACCACAACACACCCTTTGTTATATACAGTATCTTCACCTTGGTTCAGTTCGATGAGTCAGGGTCTTTTTATCATGCATGAAAGCATAAACTAATACTATTCGAGCTAATTGATAAGATAATGGTTACTTATCATTTTCCTCAAACCTCAACAACTTTGGATACTTCGTTCATATATTCCGAACACTTGAAGATTAGATACCCCGGCTTTTTTCATCTGAAGATTAACCACCCAACGTTACCCTAATCTAACTTAACTTAACCTTCCCTAACTTACCCTAACCTAAACCAAACTTAAATTTTCAACTTAACCTAACCTAACATAACCTCCAGGTGATCAATCTTTACGCGAAATAAATTGGGGCTACTAAACTAAAGTGTGTATAATGAAAAAGTTTGAAGTGTACAATATGGACAAACAAATTCATCCCGTTGAAGAGATGCAAATGAGTCAGGGAGATAATATTATAGAGACAAACTTGTGGTTCTGACAGAGCGCATAAAGGTAAAACCACGATGGAATTTTGGAGGGAAGAGAAAGTGCGTACTAAGAGTCATAGAAAACGTGGGCAAAGAAAATTAGGACAAGGAAAGTTAAGAGTACACCCAAATTAACATTACAGAGAGAAGGTGATAAACAAACAGGTAGTTAGAGTGATATACACACACACATATTAAGGTTCCGGCAGGTTAAACATACACAGTGACAGTGTTGTGTAAGATGACACTGATGAAAGCCAAGATTGCCCCTGAGAAAACTGGCGAACTGTGCATACTCGATTCGAAGGTCATTCATAACACACCCAGCCTACACGCTACACACTGTACACTAATATACATAGGCTGTTCAGTGCACTACTACACCCACATCTGTCACACACAAATTACAATGATTTGAAGGTGTGTTGACAGAACCTGGGTGTGGACGCCTTAGTTAAGAACGTTCAGTTTACGGGTGTAATGAGGGGTTTTAATAAATAGAAAGTATAGAGAGTAGGAATGTAAAGAGATGAAGAATTTGGTAGTGTGGCCGTGTTAGTTATTTACTCTGTCGATACACTTATCTTATACGTCAACACACATCTATTACGTTGTAGGGGTATCGAGATATTAATGTTGTCTAGCACTCAGGATGGAAGGAAACTCTAATGTGGTTTTCTTGTATAATATAAGTTATATGATAGACAGTCTGGTGCTGGAGGTGCCGTGTGGTGAGGGGCTGCTCAGTAGAGACGTTCGGTGAGTAGCGTGTTGAAGGAGGTAGATGCAGGAGCTTCGTTAGAGAAGATGTTGCCTGTTGCTGGCCTCC